GGTGACATTGCCTATGCAACCAAATATTATGCTCACTAGACAAAAATCATTTCGCTGGTGCCACTGAACCTAATTCGCCCGACAAGCGAAACTTATATGCAGATACAGCAAACGTGCCCACTACGATAACAGAAAGTTTGTATCCTCAACGAACACTTTTAGTTATCCGAAAATCAACTAAACTGTTGGTTGTCCCAACTAACAATTTGTTGTCTCAGCGAATCATTTTTTTCCGTGTGATCGATTGCTTCCACCGATATCGAATATCGAAATGTATCCTGTCGCGCAAATCGTCGTCAGTGCTGCACTGTGCCGCATGCAGGCGTGCGGGGAGCCTTCCGTCAGTACCATTACCTTGGCGCCTTACGGCTCCATGCGAGTAGGCAACCCGCCCATGCGGTTGCATGTGGTACGTACAGTGCAACTCAATAATAAAGATCGGTGCTATTGCCGGTGAGACGCCGAGTATACACCGGAAAAACAAAGGTAGGACTCGAATGATTTTCATTCCTTTACAAAGGTGTTAAAACTTAATGCTTTTGGACACTTTTGTGCCTTTGATACGGTATTAAAATTTCACACTCCTAGAAAGGCATTCAGTCCTACATTTGTTTTTCGAGTGTAAAATTTCTAACAGGACCTTGTTGTCAAATGTTGACGCCTGTGCGAGGTGAGGTAATCTGGAAAATTGGCATTGCAGGTTCGAGTATCCATCCCTCGACGTGATCGGCGAGGATCTGGTGACGGTCCTGGACTTCCTGCACCTCAAATACGTGGTGGTGCTCGGCGAGGGGGCCGGTGCCAACGTCCTGGCCAGGTTCGGCCTCAAGCACCCCAGCCGCGTCCTCGGCATGATCCTGATCAACTGCACGGGGAGCGCGGCTTCCGTCATGGAGAACTTTAAGAACAAGACCGTCAACTGGAGGAGCAACGACACGGTCTCATCCTCCGCGGAGCACTACTTGGTATTCCACAAGTTTGGCCAGGTGAGCTGTCGCGTGCGATCTTGACATTTATTGTGGCGTGTACTATATTTATTGGTGATGTGTTTGCCTCTGACCACCCCACATCCCCTAAACGGCTAAACCGCAAGGGAAAATGTGTTAAGTTTTGGGTGGAATCTAAACTATTTGCTGTGGAATTTGCTTTACTAAGGATGGGCTTTACACTTAGCGTAGTAACCGGGCCGTTCGTTCGCCTTTGCCATTTTGTCATTGAGTATATAAAGGGTGAGTTGGCAGGGAGTTGCACCTCATGCAGGCAGGCGGGCGGGCGGGTTTGTCTATATCGTCTCTAACCATGGCATGGCGCCTTTACGGCCCCAGCGAATAGGCAACCCTCCCCGTGCGTCTGCATGCGGCACAGTGAACCCAAAATACAAAGATGGTGCTGGCCGCTTGCCCCGTATTTGAAATGCGTGGTAGTGCATTTGAGCACACCCCGTGTCACCAAAACATAAACCGGAAACGTCAATCGGACTGACCGGACTGGGCGGAAACGGAGGGTGGGTAGGCATCGTAGTCGTCATGTTTGCCGCATGTGGAATCAGCGTTTTTGCATGAACAGTGATATGATTTTGCTGTAAAAAAAAAGAACCCTGCATTGAAAACTGTAAATACCGCGTGGCTATCCCCCGGACCACATCATGCGAATGCGCCCCGTCCTGCTCATAACATCCCGCCACCCGAGGGACAAAGAGGCGGCCCTCTTGTCTTTTATAATTAAAACCGATTCACAAAGCCGACCTACTTCAGCAAGGCGAAATGATAAAAGATGGGAGATAAATTGTTCCCTTCACCACTTCCTTACACGTTACGAAACAATAATCTCGGGCGCTATTGATTTCTCCCTGCCACAACTACCAACAACCAGACCACTACCACCGCCACGACCAAACTCGCCGCTCGCACAGTCATAGTTTCCCTGCCGTATTCCCTTGGCTAATCTTTGTGGTTCCCGCATGTCTCCCGGCCCCACAACGTTCTTCGGCCACGCAGCTGATCTACAATGAGGTGAGAAATACGCCAGCGCAGCCTGCTCTGCTTTTCTTGCTTTCTTAAGGCAAATGCGATAAAAATGAACATTACGATCGTAGTTGCTATAAAGTGGGTGATAACAGCAGCTAACAACATCTTTTGACGACTTTGCAGCAAGTCAGCAACGACACGTCGCCCGACAAGGAGAGGGTGGTGGAGGAATACATCCAGCGTCTGCACAGCACCACGCTTAACACCAAGAACATCAAGCAGTACGTCCAGGCCTTCATGAAGTAAGTTCCCCTCCACTCCCCTCCCTCCTCCTTCCTGCAGCCGCAGCCCGCTCGCTTGCAGCTTCTCACCCAACGGCCCTGTCTGGCTCGCAGGCGGATGGACCTGCCGCTGAGCGAGGCCAAGACGGACATTCTGCTCATGACGGGCGTGCTGGGGGCGTACGCCAACGTCGTGGAGAAGCTGCACAAGGACCTGGACAAGGACAAGGCCACCCTGCTCAAGGTCGAGCGCGCAGGGGACGTCATGACCGATGCAGTGAGTAGCTGTGCACCCCGTTCACCACGACATGGTGGTGGGGCTACAGCCCGGGCTAGCGCGATGGCAGTAAGCACCACTCTTCTTTCTGTGTCCTGCGCAGCCCGCCAAGGTGGCGCACAGCATCCTGCTCTTCTGCAAGGGCCTGGGGCTGCTCACGTCCGTCGCCATGCCGGGCGTGGACCGGCAGCGCACCTTCTCGAGCTCCTCGGGCGAGGGCGAGTCGCTGACCAAGCGCCGGCTGTCGCGGGGCATGTCCATGGAGGAGTACGACAAGCCCAACATCCGCCGCCTGTCCCTGACGGCCGCGGACCCCCCGCCGCCCGTGCCGGCCGCCAACCGCGCCAAGTGAGGTCGCGGAGCCGGCCCGGCAGCCCCCGGCGGCAGCCCCGGGCCCTCGCCACGGCCGCGAACCCGCCGCCCCCGGGGCAGGGCAGGCCGCCAACAGAGAGTGGCGGCGTACGGCGTGCCGAGAGCAACACCGGGGCGGCGGCGGAGGCTCCAGGATCGGGGACATCGTGGCGGGAGCCTCCCATCCCATGGCACTTCCAGGGGCGCCCCCGGGCGGCGGGACGGCGAGAACTCTACATATTATTTGGTTGAAGACGGGGTGCGCGGAACGCGATGCGGGTCTGTGTGTGCGTGTGTGTGAGAGAGCGTGTGCGTGCGTTCGTGTGTGTGTATGTGTACGAATGCGTGTGAGTATGTATGTGTTTGTGTGTGTGTGTGCGAATGAACTGAGTAGCACCAGTTATGTAGCCACTTTAGTGTAACGCTTGCACTAGCGCCAGGCGTTTGCCGGAGTGGCCGGTAGCGCTGCTGGCGAGCAGTATTATCGTAGGAAAGCATTTTAAAGCCCAGAGCCGAGTTATTTTGTTATTTATTGTAAGATAGGCGAAGGACTGCTGGCATTATTGACTCGGAATGCAAAGCTTTTTGTATAAAATATGAAAAAATGTAGCTCTGGCACGCCAGGATATCACAAAAAGAAATGTACCACGAGAGTGTATTTATTTTGATTCTTGTTTGATTCGGCGAAGCGGTGCGGACTGCAGACTACAGGACTCCTGGACGCCTCTAAGGGTGCCCCCTCAACTCAATGATCGAATAGAGGCAAACGACTCGAGGGGAGGCGATCTGCGGCTGAGAGCCCGTCACAAGCCGCCTAGAACTAGGACCTAGAATCGTTAGATTGACTCGGGTCGCGCTGTCTCGTCTCCTCGGTCGCCGGGTCTCCGCTCCTCGTGGGGGGCACCTTGAGGGGAAAGCCCCGGCAACCTAGCCTGCTGTCCGCGTGCTGCAAGTCACTAGTTTAAGCGATGTGCCTGCCGGTGTCATCATTCCATTTGCTTCTCGCTCAGAATACCTCTACCTCGTACTGATATTGGTTGGGCTGAACGGGGCGTTTGCTAAAACTGTGTCGGCGGCCACTGATGACGAGATCTAGTAAAAAGTGCTATATTTTGAGTTATAGTGTGTAGCGTCGCTTTTTAGTCGTGCAATTTACTGACGTGTGGGTCATCGGGTGCAGCACGGAGTCACAATAACCAACCGCGTTGACCATCATTCCTAGGCTATCTTTTATAGTGAGATTTGGATACTCGAGGACCAGTTGCATTTGTTTCAGAAGAAAAACATATTAAATAAAGCAAACTTTCTTTTCTCGTGCCAAACCTGTTTCCTTA